TCTCCCTCTCATTTTTTTTTTTTTTTTTTTTTTTTTCTTTAATAAAAGGCCTAGACCATTATTTGATGGTATCAATTTCTTTATATTTGGCATTAAAAGAGACCTTTCAACATTTTTGAGCGCCCTTCCAATAATCACACATGCAGAACCCACTCTACAGCACTCTATTAAAATAAATCACCTGCCAGTAATTTAAATAGCAAAGTGAAGAAAATTTTTCAGATACTAGGCAGTGATGGTAGGAAAGCTCCCACATAGCTTCTGCATCCTCAAAGATTTGTATTACATGCAGCTTTTACAACACATCCCCAAGAAATTAAAATCTGAGAGAGAGACAACGGCACGGAGCTAGAAAGTTTCTGATGTACACCCAGCCTCATCTGCAGGAAAAATCCAGCCACGATCTTGCTACACATGGATGCAGGTGTATGACACAAAAAGAGAAGTACATAAGTGAAGGGCAGACCAGGAGTTTGTCAAACAGACCTACCTCTTCAAGCTGACTGCCTGTGTAGATCTTGCAGTGCTGTCATTGCACCCCCTCGTCAACTGAAAAGTACTTTCCATATAAGCTTTGGTCACACGACCTGTGAAATCTTGAAGGGGAGCATTTGTTTACAACTCACAACAACAGTCTCTTTAAAAGAAAAAAGTTATGAGGATGACTGTATTCAAGCATTTGTCATGGTTACCAAGACAGAAAAGAGGCCACAACTGCAAAACCTGCATTCAACAATAAAACTGCAGGTCTCTACGATTTGCAAGCCCTGTCAGAGAAAAGCTGCTGGGGATGGGCAGGCTGGAGGGAAATGAGTGATGTGGTGATGTGGGGTGGCACTGCTCCGCTAGCAGCCGGAGAGGACACTCTGCAAACACACTGCACCCAAAACTGAAGGCTGAGAAAGGGTCTTATACCTTTAAAGCTGCACTTGGGAAGTGTTTTCAACAGTATGGCACAACATTTAGCGCAGAGGACAGCGGTGAAATAAATGGTTGAGTTAGCCTCATCAGGAGAAATATGGTTTTACGTAGCAATTAGAGCATCCCTGCTGGACGTTCATTTTTCAGCCAAGTTGCTAGGAGACATCACTGCAGTCAAGCACAGAGCCATCAACCACTGCTGCTCTGGATTATTATTTTTTTTTAATAAACTGTTCCATACTGAAAAGTAACTCAGTGAAGTTAAAGTTACTCATGAGACAATACCAGCTTTGATGAAAACAAGCAACAAAACCTGCACTAGCAAAGATTTTTCAGGTTCCACGTGGAATTTGTAATCCAGGAAGTAGAATGGGAAGGTTGGTGTCACCAGCAGATCAAAACCCACCCTGCTGACATACCTTAGCAGAAAATTACTGGTGTGCTTACCAGCAACACACAGGAAGTGAATTAAGTAAACTAACTTTATTATAAGTAGTTTAAATTCACTATAGACATAAAACCATATATAAAATAGGAAATTTCAAGAGGTTCTGAAGTTTGAAAGTGACAGGGCTATCAGCCTAATCTGATGTGCAAATCAACCTAAGATCCTGCAATGCAGAAAACATTGCAATGTACAAATCCTTGCTCCGGAGGTGTGGGTGAATCGCAAGGTGAGGATCAGAGCCAGACTTCCTATGGGTTATGGGTCACTGAAAGCACCATGCCACTGACTTGGCACTGGCATCATGAATTTGAGAAGAGTCTTAAGGCAGTCAATTCTGGGTTGAAGTGGAACAGCAAATGTTGAAAGCTGAGAGCACCATGCAGGAAAGAAAATCTTCTTTTGATCAGTTCTGCAAAAGAGGGAGATGGCAGTGTTTTCAGAAAACCAAGCTGACAGAGTGCAAAGGCTGGAAGGTAATGAAGTGGCAGCACAAAAGGGTAAGAGAAGGGAAATTAAGCTATAAATTTTATAAGGCTGAAAAATAATCATGGAGTGAGCACAACATCAGACAACATTTCTGAACTTATATTTCTTCTAAAGGACATGCACGAGTGTACCAGCTCTCATGCAATTTGATGTAAGGGCATTTAGAAGATTTTAGGAGGGGGAACAGAACAAGGAGCGTTATTAAATAAAATGCAAAAATCAGCAGACGAGAAAAAATAGAAAAGCTGAGCATCTACACTTTTCCTATTACTAGGCATCGCTGAGTAAACATGCTAGACATTTTTTCATTTTGCATGTTATTACATTGTTTAAAAAACATACCTGGAGCTCAGATTGGCTGTAAAAGAGTTACAGAGAAGCCAATACCAATTGCCATAGTCAGTAACAGCTACACTCATAGCCCTGCTTTGGCTGCCTTGTCCAGCTCAGGCTCTCTGGAGCAGTGATCAATGCTCTGCAGGGCACGGTGTCAGGCAGGCCCTGTGTGGCTGACAGGCACAGTTCAGATGAGGCCAACATGTGCCCAGCTCACAGGAGAACACTGTGAGCACGTAGAGTCAAAACAATGTGCTGTTCTCAGCTGGCCCCGTGCCTCTGCCACCTTAAATTCTGGTAAGCACTCACATCCAGAGAATAGGATCTAAAATATTACACTGTGCTTATTGTGGCAGAACCAGCAAGAGCACCAACAATTACAGGATTTAGCTAATTGCTGGGATGACTGCCTTGCTCCCACAGCCCACACACCTCGCTAGCCCAGCAGACAGGCTGCTGCCCACACCACAAACAGCCGCAGCACCCATTTCTGGTGCTGTGCCAAACTTTGGGAAATGTAGATTCAGCCTCAATTCTTAGGACAGTTTTTTTTTTTTTCCCCTTCATTGAAAGCAGTTTTTCTCACTTTAAAGCTTATGTTTACCTTTGATCTTCTCCATGTGTTAGGTGCTTTCATAGAGGAATATGCTCAGTGTTACCTACTGCCATTACTATACGAACATGCACATGTGCCCAGACATCATCATGCTTTTTTTTTTTTTACAAGTAAAAGTTGAAAGGCAATTAAAAGCTCACATATAACAGCCAGAGCCTCATAAGGTATAATAGCAGACTGATGCCTGTATCTGGCCACTCATGCATACATTCAGCCTCTCCATGTTCACCCAGCACTGAAACTCTGCACTGGGTGTGACTAAGTGTAAGAGGACAAGGCATGAAAATAGAAGAGTTTAGGTCCCTTATATGCACAGTCCTCACAGCAGGCAATCGTTGACTCAACAAGGGAATCCTTCTGCATAGCAAAGTTGCTGTGCCTGTGACAACAGCTGAGTGTGAAAGTAAAGCAAAATAAAATTCACAGTCCCTGACCTATGAAATTGATCCAGGGTCTGTTCTACAAGAAAACATCCCATGTCACTGAAAGATCAGGGAGACAGCTTGGTACAGATTACTCCTCATGCAGAGATTTCATTACTGGCATTTAAGCGCTTGTTTCTTTTTTTGCTTAAGCTGCTCAATCAGGTCAAAGAACCACACAAGTATGTGCAAAGCTTTCACCTGGAAAACGAGACAGTAGGTCATGCTACAAGTTTTGATTCTTAGCTTTTGTTGCTTTTAGGACAGGGAAAAACTGCAGAGTCAGTATGCTTACAACTGCAGCACAACACACTGAAACAGGATAGAGAAAGAGAACACATACTAACATTACAGCAAACACTGCCTAGTGCTAAATGGTAAATAAATGTCACATACTGTCATATAATCAAGAAAATATATGCAAGGCATTCTTGCACCAACTTGTTAGCTAGCATTCAATAGCCCACTGCCAAGTCAAAAATACAATTACTGAGCTCCTGCTTCAGGAGGAAAAGCATAGTTCAACTTTTTGGCAAAGCTCAAAGTTCAATTACCCCACAGCAAATTAATCAAACCTTCGTGCAGCAAACAATGAAATAGTGCAGATGTTACCTTCCCCATTTTCAGCTAACGTAGCTTCTCTTTAAACACCAGTAGGCAGCACCAGGAAATATTTACAAGGTCCACATTATACAAAGATAAAAAGGAACCTATCAGTGTGATTAAGAACAACAGGGAACAGTGCTCTAGGCATACAAAACAATAAATAATGAACATTCATCACCAAGTAACCTGGTGAGGTGATTTGATTTCTATAGACACCAAGATTCATGACACCAGTTAAACATTATACCCTCTAAGTTTCAAAGCTGGAAGCCAGGCATGCAGAGGCAATCATGCGCTGAACCATGCGCAAACAATGCTGACAGATGCATGGTCAGAATCCTGAACATGTACATGCACAGCAAAGGCCACTTATGTGAAAACAGTGTGTTCTGTTTCTCTGAAAAGTTCTGAGCTCTGCAAATAAAAGCTTATGAAGGAAGAAAGTGCTGCAGTATGCACACACAACAGCTTGGAAATGCACACACACCATTGGTTTTCCTCTTGCATTTTTTAAATTTTTTTTTGCACTTGTTTTTCTATGACCAGTGTGAAATTGCACACATTCATGACATATCTTCAGTAACATTTCACTAAGCTCTGCAACAGATTCCACTAGTAGTAAGCTAGAAAAAATACCAGGGACATATCTTGTTTAGCAGCAGCTGAGCAAATAAGGAAGACAGTTTGTAGATTGGAATGGAGATCTTTAGTTTCCAGCGTGAGCCACTATAAAAGGTTTTATTTTTTTTTTGATTGCTATTAAATCATCACTAATGCAATGTGGAGTGAATCACAGAACTGATGCAAAATAGTTTGAAATGGCTGAAGCCAACTTTGAAATCAGATTCTCTTGACTACAAATCTTTCTACAGTGTACCGGTTCATCTTGTTGTAATAAAGCATAATTCCTGCTTTCCCTGTGCTTGTGACTGCTACTCAACTATGGCTATAAATGAATCAACTCACAAATTTAATAAGAAAATGAGACTGAATTGTTAAAGAACACCTACCTTAAAATCATATTTATTTTTAATTATCAAAATAAAACAACTGATTCCCTGTAACTGATTAAATACATTTGGTGATCAACTGAAATTAAAAGAGTGCCACTTAAATGCACAAAGTCAATACTGCAGATGTGTAGGATTGATGTTTTGAAGCACTAAGGCATTTAAAAAATTTTATTTTGCATATCCAAAAAGAAATGTTACAAAACTTTTTTCTACAAACATAGTCAAGAATGTTTAAATACGATAATTTAATGTAAACCAAACCCCTTTTAAATATGCAATACTGTAATCAGAGGTTATTTACACCCAGTGAAGACAGAACAACCTCCACTAATGCTAAACATCATCTAAGCACAATTAATTTCCATCATTTCTCAAAGTGACATTTAAATACAAATTTGTTTTAGTGGGTAAATCATCTCAGTCCTAATACATGAAATTCAGTGTTACATTCAAAAGTGGGAAAAGCAGAATCCTGACTATTCACGTCATTAGTCAAGGCAGTACTGCATTCAGACTTGGAAAGCCTTTAGAGAGATACAACTATAAATTTATAATGTTTATGGCATGGTAATGCAACAACAAGAGAAGAAGAATCAGTAAGTGCCTGGGAAAACAAAGCTGTAGGAAAACCTGCTACAAAAAGAAATGTTATTCTTTCCCCAGATCAGAACAGCTCTCCCCAAGACTTAAGTTATTTCCCCACATTTCACAAAGTAAAACAAAATATTAGGTACTTTGACATTACTCCAACAAGAAGAAAGCTGCATGTGTCAGTGGAAACATTTAGATAACTGGCACACACAAGTTTAGTTTATTCATGAAAGCTTATTCATGCCAAGATGTAAATTTATAGCCCTAGATGGCATTCACATTTCACGTGCATGGATGCAGAAAAGGCATGATCCAATAAATTCTAGTCACAGATCATTTCAGATATTTGGTTGTGACTTTACCTGGAAGGACAACTGTCATGTTTGCACTGCACAAAGTGTCTACAGAATGCAGTAACATACTCTTCTTAGGAGACAGAAACGTGAAAGTTGTTAAGACTGGTAACGGAATACAGACCAACAAAGTAGGGAAAAAAGGTGGCTCACCTCTAAACCAGACTGCCCCTGCTCAGGGGGTGACAGCTGCTGACCTAACATGAAATGGGTTATCTCCAGGCATTTCCTACAGGTACACCATATCTCCAAACTAAAAAATTACTGCTAAAACCGCCAGCTGTGATGGCAGGCACAGGAGATGCCAATATGGCATAGACATGAATACCAGCACTTTCAGGTGTCTCCTGCAACTGAGACGAGGCACTTTGTTTTGGTAATGTCTGGCCAAAGGCAGTATAACTGTTGCTCAGTATAAAAGGAGCTTAAATTTCTACAAGTGGCAATTTAGGACTTCACCTAAGAGCTAAAAGCACTTCAAAAGGTTAGAGAGTCCAAAATATATTGTACTTATCTGCTCGATATCCATTATGAATAATGAATATACGAGTCATCTTTCTGACAACAGTTTGGCCTGGAGCTCCATCCATTAACTCCAATAAATTTGCTTTTGCAACTTAAGACCCCCAGTAGAGATCTTAGGTCACCTACTCTTTGCCAAAAATGAGAATATAAAATTAATCACAGAATCATAACTTCATTTCAAACTACCATATTGAATTCTTACAGAAGTGTGCATATGCACACCCACATATTTATCCATTTCTTTTCAGCAATCTTCTACAAAGTTGCTTAGGAGAAAGATGGATCAGACTCACACAAGATCATAGATGCCAACAGGCAATTAACTGAGCACATTAACAGCAACTTCAAATGGACGGCACTGATATTTCACAGTGGTCCTTCTAAATCCATTTCAGTTGGTGCTAATTCATTAGCAGAAAACAGAACATACTAAAATTAATGCCTTGCCACCTTGATGAGAGAAGAAAAATCAAAATAAATATTCACAAGCTAAACTGATCAATAAATTCTTAAATCAAATAGAGAAAAGTAAATCAGCAAACCACAGTGTGCACCAGCTAAACTATCACTGGTGTCTAAAGCAGTTGAAACAGAGGCTCGTATAGAATTTCAATCAACTTGTATGAAATCTGACAGAAATCTCTACAGCTTCAAAAAAAACCCACTCCAAACTAAAGCTCGGGCTTATGCCTGTGTTGCATTGCTAGAAATACAACACAGAGGTTCCTCATGGCTTTGCCCTGCATCAGGTAGACTGCACAGCTCTCACCTGGAAATAGCAGAGCTACCCTGGCCACAACATTTGTGGAGTTAGCCTAGATTACCAATGCTTTCCAGCACCTCTTACTTGAATGAACAAATGTGAAATCAGCAATAAATACTCTAGTTGAAGTTACCAAAATTCTCTGCAATGCATTTCCATAGCCAGTAACAAAAGGTGTGCAGGTGATACATTTAAGTATGCAAGAAGCAAAATAATATCAGGATTTGAGAATGGGGTCATATTATTGTGGAAAAAAGTTGTATACTGAATACCTTTTTTTTTTTTCCCCCTTTAAAAGGGAAAGAAGTATCTTTGGATTTAAGTGTTTATGGATAATGGAGGAAATCCTGGTGCCAGTGAAGACTATGGTAGTTTTGGTATCTACTTCCAAACAAGAAGGATCTTATTCATTCTTCAGTATTTCATTCTTTAATGTTGAGTGAACTTTCAAGCTGTGAAAGTAGCACACACACAGTTCTCAGCCCTAGAATAAACAAATAAAGACAGATAGAAAACAGAAGAAAAGCAGAACAAAAAAAAAAGTACTCAGATTCACTAATTACTGTCTTGAATTACTAGCTTCTAAACATAAATTCTAACAGAAAAAGCTTTAGAATCTCTCTCCTCTGCTAGGGCTCTGAATTTATTGCTATGAAGCCAGCAGAGTCTAACCATATATTGGTTTTGAACACCAAGGCATATGGCTCTCGGCCATTTGAGGGCCCAAGATACAATGTGGCATGTAAAAAAAATCCCAGGTGAGAAAAAGGAACCAACCAGGCAAGAGGAAATACTGTAAAATTAGTTTGCTTTAGCATAACTAAATTTCTAGAATGTTTCTTAAGGATTCCCCACCTCAGGCAATTCCAAGAGTCTGCAGCAAGAAGAGAAGGGGATTCCACAAATCTTGTGGGGAATGCGGTCAGCATACAGAATAAAACAAGCAACATCCCTCAAATCAGAGATACTTTTGAGAATAATGACAGAGTACCATCTCTGTACCTGCACTGTGCTCACAATACAGATTCCTTATCTTCTAAGGACTGTTATAAGGGAAAAGAAAAACCTGTGACTCAAAGAACAAGTGAACCTAAAACAAAAGGGAAGTTCATTATACAGGTTGCTTAAATTACAGAAATGCATAATAAGCCAAGATAAAGTGCAACAGAACGATTAGTTTTTGTGTTTTGTTTTGAAGTCCAGAAGCATTCTTCCTGTTTTACTTCGTACTGGTGGTAACAGGAGATAGTGCAATTGCATTGGCTGAACAAGAATTCATAATGTCTTCATATTGTGGGGGTGGATCTAAGTGCGGTTCAGCTTCACTTCTTCTCACACTGATTTCACCAGTGGCTTCCTCGTACGAAGGAGGAGGATCACAGTTTGACAGCCTTGTGGATATTGAGTCTGATCGTGTATCCGCATAGCTCAGGCCTCCCGGAGAGAGCCCACTGACTTCAAACATTTCCTCCTGTGGGGAATGAACAATGCTGAGAGGCTGCGGGAGCGAACCTCTGCCGTCAGACACAGCACCATCACCTATCGCTTCGTGGGCTCCCCTGTGCGCGTACACCGACTGTCTGCGCGGTTTCTTTTTAAACAGGCATCTCCATATGACAAAAACGACAATGAGGATAACAAAAAGGCCAATGATTAATGGAAATGCAAGGTAAAATGAATACCAGCTATGTCCTGTGTTACTTTCTCCCTGAAGTCCATTTTTGTAGACTTTCCAGAACTCCTTCTAGAAGAGCAAGACAGGATAAGTCAGAAACGGTAAGACATTAAAAACAAAAGACCAAACCAAAGACTTTATTCAAACTGTTTTAAACGAATGAGGAAAAAAATAGCATTTCAAATACTGATGATCAATACGAGAACTGATATGAATAAGCACATAAAATAAAATTTTCTTCTGACGCGATTACAGAAGCAAAAGACTTTTTTTTTTTTTTTCAAACACCAACTCCTTGCTCTACTTGTAATAATCCTGTATTGACAGTTTAATATCTACAAATCTGCAGACAGACAGGAATAAAAAAATCTAAGCAGCACGCACATCAGCCATGTAGTGGATCTAAGTTTTTCAGTACCACTCAAGCTCCAAGTTATTACCTTTTTTTTTTTTTTTTTTTAACCATAATACACTAATACAGTTTGACTGCTTTGGAATGACAAACCATCTTAGCAAAGCAGAACTATGTTGTATTGTCAGTTCAGAATTCCTCCATCCTCTGGCTCATAAAGCAATTGTCAATCTATTCTGAGCTGCTTCAAATCCTCTGTTTATAGGTAAATACAGCTTCAGCAGCACGAGAACTTACACAGCTTATTACACTCTAGAAACTTCGGCAACACAGCTATAGATAAATGGAACAGTGAAAAGTGAAAATAAAAAGGAAAAAACAGATGAAGGAGGACTAGTACTTGAAAGCAATCTCGTTACATTACTAACATGCACAAGCAGGAGCACAAAGATCACATCAGCTTCCCATTTGCTATGCAGTGCTACGCTGTGCAAAACTAATATGAATAAAAGTTTTTCCTACCTCATCTGTAATGCACGCTCTCTCCTATCAAGAAACACTTCCACAGTTTCTTATAGCAATGCATAAAGCAAAAAATAAAGCAGAACAAAACCCATGCCAGATACTCTGAACTCTGCAGCCTCCTTTATAGATGCAGAGATGTGACCTCTTCAGATTTATGTGAGCATCCATTTCAAGTAACAACATCTTGCAAGAATGTATTTTAAAAATTCTCACCAGGAAAAATGACTACCATTTCTTAACTAGTCAATGATACACTCAGGTTGCAGACTTTGTGTACAGACAGATCAGATCTTATATATATACACATCTATTTTTTTTTCTTTTAAGTTCAGGACTACATTCTATAACTACTACCACGTGAACAGCATTAATCATATAGAATCACAGAATTATAGAATGGCCTGGGTTGAAAAGGACCACAGTGATCATACAGTTTCAACCCCCCTGCTATGTGCAGGGCCACCAACCACCAGACCAGGCTGCCCAGAGCCACATCCAGACTGGCCTTGAATGCCTCCAGGGATGGGGCATCCACAGCCTCCTTGGGCAACCTGTTCCAGTGCGTCACCACAGATAACACAACAATGTAACAGTGTGTCACACAGACAGATAACATAACCAAACTGATCTCAGAGCTTTGCAACTGAGGACTTCTGTCTCTTCATAATAGGAAGAGAGTCCTACAAAAACAAACACCCCACCTTTCCCCATCAAATCTACACACAGCCAGGAAGACCTGTTACCTATTGTCTTTCCATCTGGTTTGAACAGAACTAAATATTAAACACACAACTAAAGCAGGAAAAAAAGATTCATTAGCATTATTAACGGCAGCTTTCTATATTGAAACCAAGCTTCTCAATTCACTGCTCTGTTACTTCACAAGCAGCAAGGAGATGGTATAGCATTTGTTTCTGAGGCCAAAGCTGCAAAGATTTGCTGGAAGTCAGCAAATAAACTATGCAAGGATGTTTCATTTCAAAGACTCTAGTAGAAGATGGTTGAGATGAAAATTTAGAAAAAAAAAGCCAATTTTGACCTTGCAATGCATTTTACGTTTCAGACTGTAAGGAAACCTGTCCTCTTTAACGTAAGGTGATAAATTGTAATTGGTATTCTATTAATGTTTCCATGTTACTTCTAGCTCAACAGTATCTACCTGAGAAAAAATCCCTGTACCTTCTTCATGAAACTGAAATACCAGCACTGCTTCTCGTTACCCTGCAGGGTGACAAAACAGCAGAAAAGCTGTTTTTTCAGAGTGGAGGGCAGCTAGTTCACAGTAGGTTATATGGCTGTGGGGGTGGTCAAGTTAATGGTATGACTGGGCAGGTGCATAAAGAGCTTAATGTAAGAATTTAAACTGCCTTAAGGATTGAAGTAGTTTAGTGTCCGCTTTCATTTACAAGCAAAGCAAATGAAATGCCAAGGGACTATGGACATGCATTCCTCTGCCAAAAATTATAGTGCTTCTGTCTGTGGCTGTATTGCAGAGACAGGAATAAAGGTCTTCACACAGATGAAAAATACGAAGAAGAACAGTCACTGAAAAAATGTTTCAATTTTTCACTTTGAAAAAGAGCTCACTAGTGTACTAGACTCAAGATTTTGGTATCAAGGGGAACCATAAAGACCCTTCCCTCCAGAATTACCAGAACTGCAAGAAACCTACACTTCAGGTTTGTGTTTCTCACTGCCAAGCAGCTCCTCCTCCTACTCTGTCACCCCACAGCTATGCTGCTCTGCAAAGTGGTAGCACAAGGAGGACAAACCACCTAAAGTCAAGTACTGTCCATCACCAAACAAATTCACAGAGAACTCTGATGAGTTTGCACAGAGTGAGGGTTCATATGATCTGCTAAGGAAAAACAAGAGGAGAAATACTGAAATTCCAGCAGATAACTGTAGAATTCATACAGAATATTGAAGAGTAATTTAAAAGTTGGAAAACTTAAACATCCCTTCCACAGCATTTGGTCTCTTAAATCAGGGGAACAAAAAAGGACTTTTTACTTGATGAAACTAAGAACTTGTAATTTATGAAAAAGACACTCCAGAATCATTCACCCTTAGGCACTGCACTGCTGGGAATGCAAGGCATATCACAGAATTGTAGGGGTTGGAAGGGACCTCTAGAGATCATGGAGTCCAACCCCCCTGCCAAAGCAGGTTCCCTACAGCAGGTCGCACAGGTAGGCATCCAGGCAGGTCTTGAACATCTCCAGAGAAGGAGATACGTCTTAAAAGGCTGAAAAACTACATTAAGTAGGCCACAGCATCAGGTAAGTGCAACGAGAAAGACCTAAAATAATTTAGTATGATTCCTGCTATGAACTACTTTACTGCATGTTGGCAAATCCAGTTTGAAATAGCTCTTGAGAATCCTCAAGGGCATCACACACAAATCGTTATGGGCAATTTGCAACATTCTTTTTCCCTTTATGTCTAATATTTCACTATCACTATTTAGAACAGAACTGACTTCAGTCAACTGGATGTGAACACTGAACCAAACACTGGTCCACATCAAAGTTAAAGAGTCTTGTACCCTGCTGAGAATTTTGGTTGAGGCCTTTGCCATATTTGGCAGCACTGTCAGCCTCAAATGACTTTTGGTCAATCATCTGACTTGTTGTTAGGTGGACTAATAGTATGCCAATCAGTTCAGTAGGTAAAGGATACAAAAAAAAAAAAAAAGCAATAAAGGGAAGTGAGCAAACTTGCTACACTGTCTTCTTCTGGTTCACCCTCAATTTCAGTTTTTCATTTTCTCTTCCAGATATTTACCCAGCATTCATAATTAGACACACACAGACTGACATCTTATTTGATCACAGCATTTTAGAGCTGGTGCTGGCAAGTTCTGAGTTGCTTCCTAGGCACTTTAGCCTTTTTACACTTATGAATAAATGCATGTGAGTTTTGGTTTTGTTCTTTTTTTTTTTTTTTTTAAATGATGCTGTATCACCTTAAAACCAGAGTTAATGTATGAGAAATGAGCTTCCATCACACCCAGGTGTCTTGCACAGTCACTTTCTGCCAAACTTTGAGCCTCCCAACAACCTTTGACAGCTGCCTAGTGATCACATACAGTGCTATCTGGTTATACCTTCTACATATGCATAGTTTTACAGGATGAAGAGTAGGGGTCATCTAATTTATTACCTTCTGACAACAAACAACACAGACTGTCAGAAGAAGAGTATAGACATAAGTAGAGAGTGATACTCTCGCAGCTTTCACATATTCGTACTTCAAGAACTCCCACTAGATAAAGCTGAACCCTTTTATTCAATGTTCCCCAGTTGTTTTCATCTTCTCTGAAGCTATGTAAGCTTCTTCCTGCGGCCAGTCACACAGCTCTACTACCTGAGGTGAGAAGAGATGCTTTTATTTGCTCTGAACCTGCATTTTATTTCCTTTGAGACCCTTTTAAGCTCCACTGTCAGAAGGATGTTAAATGATTCATCTCTGCTCAATCTTCATATTCCTTACTGACATCTACTACATGTTCCCAGATTTAACAGTTTTCAATCCATAGTTGAATCTTTCAATATCTTTAATTAGCTTCCTGGGTTCTCTGGAGTTTCCTCAGCTACTTATTTGCTTTTTAAAGCTATACATGACACATTCAAGATTCAAGTGAACAATTGCGTAGTTACATTTCCCACATTTCCCATTTTGTTCTCTGTTCCCTTCCTAGGATTCTTAACATGCAGTCTTTTATTTCTTTTTGTTTAACTGCTAAGCATTACAAATTCTAGTCTTCAAAGACAATCTATAAATTCAGATCTTGTTCCTGAGGCAAACATACACATGTGTATATCTATCTATATATATACACACATACATGTATTTATGAGGAATGATCCCTTTTCCCCTATTGCACATCACATTTGTCAACACTGAATTTCATTTTTTCCACTCAGTGCAACAAAGTTCTGCAAACTCTTTCCTGCCATCTAGCTTTTGCTATCCTGAGAGTATTACCTTTATTATTAACTGTATCATTTTACATTATACTTCTGAAGATATGAAAATCCCCAAGCCTACACAATATGAAAGGCATTCAGTATTTGCCTGACATTTACGTATGTATGTTTAATGCACACAATGCTACCTTCTAAGTATCTTTCAAAAAAGAAAACACCAAATATAACTTGAGGGGACTGTTTGATATTATTTTAATATTACAAACTCAGATGTACACCTCCCCAGAAGACTTCAGAGAAGTGAAGAACCCGGTGGACAAGATTAAAAAAATACAAAAAAGCAATCATACAAACACAAAGTTCACATGAGATAAATAAGCTCCGTAATCTTCCTGAATTTCTGTCTATCTATACTACACAATCACTGCATCTTCATTATTACAAACATGCTATATTATAACCTCGCTCTACAGCACCTCCGTCCCCAGAAATCAACTATTATTAAATGGCTGTAAGGATGGATATAGCTGGGAAACAAAGGACTAAGTAAATTAGGCTGGTCAGGCATGGCTGCACATCGGCAAGCTACCGACATCAAAGCAGCTAAACTAAAACAGATACAGTAATAGGACTGGATAATGGAAGAGGATCTTATTGGAAATTCTCTCTGCACTGCGACAATAAGGTTATGGCATAATAGTAAGTGTGACCATTTCTATTTTACTATTTCTTAAACACCTCTGCAATGGAAAGGCTATCTACTGAAATACAAAATGTTTCTAAATACTTAATAGACTAAAAGAAATTGAAGCAAGAGGAAATGCAGAACCATAGAATTTCCTGAATTGGAAGGGACCCACAAGGACCATCAAACCCAACTCCATACAGATACATTTAAAATTCAATCCCTGTGACTGAGTGGGCTGCCCAAATGCTTCTTAAGCTCTGGCAGTGTGGTGTCATGACCACTGACCTGGGGAACCTGTTCCAGTGCTCAAACAACATCCTGGTAAAGAACCTTTTCCCAATACCCAACCTGACCTTCCTCTGACACACTTCATACTGCTTCTTTGGGTCCTATCATGGGTCATCAGTTTGACCTATCATTAGTCAACATATTTAGGCTATTAGTGATACTGTGTTAGTTTTGTGCACACTATTTTTAATTACGCAGTGCTATCATTGGGAATTGCCACATCAACTTTAGGAGGTAAAAAAACATGACCGTGCATGCATTTTAGAGCTTCTGAAAGAATAGGAATTGAAACACTACACATCCTACTGCTTCATTTGAACAAATGAAAGTTTCCATTCTGTCTTCTCCACTTTCCTATGTGTGACAGAAACAAAAAGATGCCAGAAACTTAAAATGTTTGGTAGGCTTTCCTGTTGCTGTTTTCAATGTAAAACAGCCAGTGAAGAGTCAGACACATCACTCATGTTGTTCCAAAATAAATTCATAATGCTCTCTGTGCCACTTTGCCCATTAACCCAGAGGCCTTGCCTGCTAATTTCCCAAGTCACATTTTCTAGCAGCTGTTTCTCCACTTTGGGACTGAATTTGAGGATAAATCTAATTTCATTCAGGTCTGTATTGAATTAGAAAAAAAAATATCTTGACTTTACTGCATTAAATATGTCAGGCAACACTATCAAAACTTACATGCTGTGATTATTTGTTGGAAGGCAATTTAAGTTATGCTGGGTACAACGTACAGTGCAGCTACTACGTGCAGAGCTGCTGGCCCACAAGCTTCTTTTAATTACAGAAAGTGACAGACTTACACAATTCTGTGTGGGCAGTATCTGTTTCATTCCAGTCAAGTTAATATATCACTGCCCTTGAATAACATATGGCAGCATTAAAATTGTTATCCTTCCCATGTTTTAGATTGCTGCTGCTTAACAGTATGTTGTGAGGGTCTGCAGAAGTTAACTTCAAGAAGGCCACTTGTCTTTGTTTACTTTTAAGACTATGAATAATCCCAGCCACAGAACATTCTAGCCAGCTATGCCAGCCTCTGGGATATAGTCCCTATTTTGAGTAGAATGATTTTTCACTCACTCATCTTACGTGAACGTATTCAATAAATAAGTTAAGGTGTGAGATAAACAAAGACTTCTGACTTCTGCTCCTATACATTCCCTGTAACAGTCACAACTCTTATCATTTCAACCAAGAAAAACAATAGTATCTGTGATATGGAGGTTAGGATTAAGTGCATGATGATAGGACACATGCTATTTAGGTAAGTAGTGCTGCCAAAGAGATAATGATAAAAGATAATGACAGTTGGAAGAAAAGGAAAGTGGATATTCCCCAAGCTGCCAACCTGCATAAAACTTTTATGAGCAAAGTTTACTTTGAGACTTCCCTTTGAAATTTTTTTTAATTTGGAGAAAAGATTCCAAATTTATTGCTGTGAGGTCTATCCATCTCCAATGCAGACCTCAGTTACTTAAAGAATCAAGTCAAAAGGAAAACAAATCTACTGTAATATAGGAAAATACACAAGTATTCACCATATCTCACAAATTAATAGCAAGATACCTCACCCCCCATCTATATATAGACAACAAAACATACCGTCTTTTCCTCATTTTCAAATGCTTCTCTTGCTTCTTCATAGGTACAAATTTCTTCTCTGCATTCGTGTTCTATATCACCTTGCTTTAATTCTTCCAAAAATTTGTTGGCTCTTCGGTATCTTTTATACACAGAATTGGCTTTGTCCTCTGTTAAGAACACTGAATAAGAGGAGAGCAAATAACGGTCACTACTAAAACATTCCCAAAACCTCATGGTGAAACTATTAAAAAATGTCCATTTGGGCAACATTCTTTTTCAAAGTCTTCCCCTTTATTTAATAGGATAAAAGGCCTTTTCTGTTTTGTTCACTATTATGAACATTTGGGTCTACAACTTCAGTAGTTATTGCTAAATCAAAAATGTGTTGGATCCCTATTCAGCATCGTGCTCCTATATGCTTAAACAAGACCGAAGCCTGTGCCTAAGAACAGCCTGTGCCCAGAAGAGACAGCCACGTGCTCAGTGAAAATGATTTTTCAAACTAGCACAGAACAAACAAAAACCTGTCTGCGAACATCCAAGGAGATATTTGCAACTGCTTGAGGGCAACACAGCTAGAATACTCAGGAAGTCTTTGATGCTACAAATATTTCCGAATATTACCCAGTTGTATACACCAGAACAGCACCACTTATCAAAGTTTAATCCCATCTGTTTTCTTACGCAACTTTGAAGCAGACTTTCTGCCTTTATTTCAGAAATGTCAGCCACGAAATATCAACTCTTTTCGAGGTGTAGGGGAAGCAGGCTCACTGCATCTTCTTACATAATTCATGGAACCCCACCTTACTTGCTGAAGCAAATAAAATAACGCCAAATGACAAGTGAAATTCTGATAAAGCTATTCTTTTTTTGCTTTCCTTAGTTTTCTGTTCACGGAGAAGATTATTTTCAGCTCTTTTAAGATTCCATTCTTCCCTCAAATTCCCTGACCTAATGATTTTTACAGTAACATGTAATAACTGAAACACTTCAAAATCCAGCAGGCTGAGTTACTCTAAAGGTACACCAGCAGTGAACAACACAGAAAATCCTCAGGTATTTCAGGTCAGGAAGCAAGAACACTGTATCAATGCAACACTGTTCTTGGGCTCTCACTGCTAGCAATAGGGGCTAACAATTCAATGCAATGCCATATTAACATACTCATACTGTCTTCCTCATCAGTGCTACCATTTCTGCACTGGTTCATTTACAGCTAATCTGGGACCTCTGATTAGCTTATGAAGACAAAACTCTCACTGTCTGCAGAAAGATAGAGACCAAATGGTTTAAACAATGATTTATCTATGATTTCATATGAATCAGTCTTCTATTTCTACCCTAATCCTCTTATTTGAATAGTAAAAAAGGATGCCTGCAAGTCTACAAAGATAGGTCACTACACTTTTGCTTTACTGAAGTTAGATGTGGCAGCATTTTTCAGCAGTGGGAATACTACTACAATTAGGCTTATCTACTTCACATTAATTTCATTTTATTCAGCATGCGCGTTGTAATCTCTTTGCTAAAATTCATTAGACAATCACCTTCCTTTTGCAAAGGATTAGGTTTTTGAAGATCAAACTCCAAGATAATCAGTCATTCCTCCACTTCCAGTTGAATACATGTGGTATTCACGCACCGTATAAATTACCTTATTCACAATGCTGCCAGAGTCTCTGTGCATACAGATCTACATCTGCCTTTTGCAACTTTGGTTTCTGATAGCCACCACGGCGTTTCCTACTGTGTTGAGTTCACTGCCTAAATAACAAACTAATACTCAAAATTCTCCTCCAAAGAGAAGGACAGGGATGGCTTCTGTCTCCTCACACAATTGTCTTGACTCCTCTCTAGGCCTGAAGAATTGGCTTGTTTTCCACATGCCTCAGCAATCACCCAAAAGCGGGGAGATGAAAGATTTGGTGACACCAGGAAGCCACCATGCAATCGCGACTGGGAATGCCAGTTCTCAACCTACTTCTCACCAACCTTTCTTGTGAGCTTTCTTGAAGCAAGATAAGCTACAGACCTGACTCTCTTAAGTGCTGTCACAAGGAGTAGATAATGCATCGTAAATCAAGTTTCCCCTCCTTCAAGGGATAAAACGTAAGGAATCTCATTTCATAGATAGAGTTCATCCTTGAAAAGAGAGAAGAGAAACTGTAACAGCTTCGTACTGGATGCAGAGGGAAAAGGAATAAAGAGGAAAACACAAACAGCTGAAAACATCCTGATTTGAAACTACTGGCTCTCAAGAAGTACATACAATTCCTGCTTCCAAAAACAAGTATATATTTGTACTGCAAAATACACTGATGAAGAACAGCAAAGCTGTTCAAAGCTGCCCAAACATAAAACAATCCAATTTTCAAGAATGGCCAATATTTTGCTAAATATTTCTAAAATACTTTTCTAAAAGAAAAACCACACTCCCCTTCCCACCAATTCAGGATGCGTCTCTCTTCTGTCACAATACATACAAAGACAAAAAAAAACCCACTGAGAAGGCTAAGCCACGTGCGTTAACTCTGAATCTATTTGATAAAAGATCAAATAAGATTAGACCAAGATCAGGAACAGTTTTTGACCTTGTAAGACTAGATAGAACGAAGTACAACATTGTTCATTTGCTTGTTTTGATCTGACATTTATAAAGTTCTGCACACTCATAATTACTTTAAATGCCTATTGAGAAGTCAATAAAAAAGCAGCAATGAAAAAAATACATGCACCGATCAAAGCAATTTTGATGCAGGCACTGACAAATGTAATGATTTAGTAAGAATCTGTCACTTTCTCGTGTATAAAGATAATGGTACCATGTTGCAGAAACCACACTGATTTAGTATTCTGACTGTCATCATGGAAATATTCAGTTATAAAACTGCATAGGAGTGTGGAAAAATCCTCCTTGGGTTGGATGCCCACCTAACAAAGATGTTGCTGAATTCAATGCAGCTGTTAATATGAAACTGAAAACGATTAGGAAAAAATGACATGGTTAGAATAAGAGTAGTATAATTAAGCTTACTTTTTCACTTTAAGATCAACTAACAAATACAAGATAAAGATTGAAACAATCATTTTGATGCTACTCCAGATAGTGCTCTGTGTGTAAACAATACTTGGTTTTTAGCAAAGTTTTTTGAATCAAAAAACTATTAAAAAAACTTAGTTTGACAATATTATTGGAGAGAGTAATTCATCCAGATCAATTTATAATACATTCTCAGGAAAACCTGTGCAAGGTGAAATGCAACTAGAACTAAGAAAAATTAAGCAAGGATGTGCGAGGATAAGTATGTCAGCCTGCCAGCTGAAGATGTCACAACTAAAGAAAACTGACCTCAGGTCTGTAGAGAAGGAAAAACAGGCTGCAGTGGTGTGGGAAAAATATTCTGACACAGAAATGCTGCAAAAGCAAAGTCCATGGCACTGTGGTCACCAAAGCCAGCTCTGTTGAAACTACTGCTGATGCTCCCATTTTCTGTCTCTTTACCAGCACTCAGGGATATAAAAGCCACAAATAGCAGAAATAAGCATTTCACTTGAAATTGAAAACTGAACCTACTAATAAATGTGAATCTTTCTGCTGGTGATATTAATAAAACTATTTGATTTGCACAGGGGAGAGAGGTTGAAAAATGTTTTGAGAATTCACTTGTAAAGCTTGAAAAGCGATGTCTGCAGTGAGATTCTAAAGTTACTCAAATGAGCTTAGGAACACAAACTGAAGGACACAAAGCTGGAAATCAGCTCTGTGTCCTCTGTTCTGCAGCCAGGTTACAGAATCACAGGATGGCCAGGGCTGGAAGGGACCTCAAGGATCATGAATCTCCAACCCCCCTGCCACATGCAGGGCCACCAACCTCCCCATTTAATACCAGACCAGGCAGCCCAGAGCCCCATCCAACCTGGCCTTGAGCACCTCCGGGGGTACGGGAGCATCACCACCTCACTGGGCAGCCTCTGCCAGCACCTTACCACTCTCATACTTAAATATTACATGCAGATCATAATTCTATGTTAGAACAGCAGTACAATTCCAATTCAGTTTAGTGTGGACAAAGATCTGCATGATACGTAACACTAAAATCAGTTCCATTGCAAAGACTTTCATGCAAACTGACTAGGATTTTGAGAGGAGGACAATTCTGGGGGATGCTAATACCTCTTTCATGGGGAACAATACAGAATGCACATTCATCACCAAGTTAAACTTACCACTGTCCATGGTGATCACTGTCAAGGCACAAAGCTTGCAAATATCAAATCTGAAAACGAAAAAGGAAACATCCTGTTGAGTTGTGGATTATGATCAACTTGGGAAAAGTTTATAGTAATACGTGGGAATCAAGATAAATGTTTTGTATCAATGTTGGAAACCCTGTGGTTACGATTAATCTCCATTTTCAGTTGTATCATTACCACATGAATAATAACTTCAGCAGTGTAAGAGTACTATCCAATTAAAAATGACTTAGAAATGGTGAGCACTTCAAATTTTCCATATTCAGAAAATGAAAATATGATATAAAATGGGTGTGTTTCATTTTAAACTGATCTGAAACCTGTTTTACAACTTGAAAGTGCTTGTATCTTACCTAGGACTCAAATTCACCCTGCAGAGAATATGAAACCAACTTTATTCTATGGATCAGATTTGGGAAATCATTCAGTGAACACCTACGAAATCATTCAAAGTCTGTTGCTGATTAAAACAGGATGCATTAAGATCAAAGGTAAAGCAAGACCTGTGATTTGGCAAAAGAACCTGCAATACATTCAAGGATCCCAGCCAGCCCTACACAAACTTGCACGTACTTTATCCACATCTTGGAAGGAGAAAAGACAAAAAGATACACAGCCATGAAACAGCCTGAATCACAGTACAGCCACCAGACAGTCAATAAGAAGCTGCAATGGCTACTTGAGGGGCTGTTTTCAGTTTCTTGGAATCTTCAGTAGTTTCAGTTAAGAAAATAAAAGCTTTAACTGAAGGACAAGAACATTGCAACTATCTAACCAAGTTGGCAGAACATCACATGAGGTTAAAGATTTTTTTACTAATGAATTACCAACTCCTAAAGATTAGCATCAGTTCTACTTCAGAGGTCAAGTTACACATCAACATATCATTCCATATGCATGCCCTCAACCTCCATAAAACCAAAACCTCATATGCAAACATCTCCACTAAAAAGCGCTAACTGTGCACAAATGTTGGCTGCAGCTGCTTCAATAAACAGGGAAAGTTAAGACTTCCAGCACTGATTTGTTAAGCAAGAGCAGACAGCAAAACTTTTCACAAATGAAGCTCTACAAACACTCCCCAGTCTTGTAATAAAATTGTAGGTCTGGGACTAAAGGAAATGTGGAATGGAGAGTACACTAATTTTTAAGCAAGTTCTTCACGTCTCTGCAAAGGTAAATAAATGCAAATTGAATTAAAGCACTCTGAAGTCTCACCACCATGACGTTTGGTGTATCATTTCTAAGCATAGTAGGGTCACAGAAGCAGAGGGCTTATATTCTGAGAGAAAAAAAAAGGTATACAGCCTCCTCCTGCAGCATTAATTTTTCTCAGCAGACCATCCCTACCTATGCTAAGACTCCAAGAAACTGAAAAAAGTCCCTGTAACAGGTATTGCATCTTTCAGGTGTGGTTCTTATGATCCTCAACAGTCCACATTAGATTCTTACAGCAATTACAGATATCTGGAGATCTCTGGAACTAATTATGTCAGTTTTCCTACAAACATGTCTTTTTTTTTTTTTTTTTAAACACTACTCTGCCTTTTCTCCCCATCTCTGTATCTGCCCAAACTTCTTCATTTGCAAGCCTCCTGTTGCCTCTGTGTCCCCACAGCTCATGGCAAGTTTCTTGCCACAGCACCTCAATACAGGCTGAACGAGAGGCTAATGCAGGCAGTGATGCTCTGCTGTTACACAGGGAAACACACAAGTCAAGCCCACAGAACAGACTTTTCCCACCACAGAAAAACTACTCAGGTCACCCATTAAATTTCAGTCCTCTACTCTCTGACATTCTTGGTTCTAATCAACTAAATAGTTCAAAAATTGTTTGGAAAAGGGGATCAGATGCAGAAAAGGACATCAATCTTTTTTGCTTCATAAGCCAGCTAATAAAACTGAAGAGGGTTGGGCAACACTACACATACATCTTGACTCGCTACTGACTCATCTATTCCTTTACCCAGCTTTTTACTTAGGATTTCATGCTTTTCAGTCTTCAAGAACCTCACTAAAGGGAGGACTGGTCTTATGGAAGACACTGCTCTGACGACATACAGGTATACATTTAAAATATACATACATATATATTCACAAACACCAATGCAAGAACACAAACCCCACAGATATCATCTCAGTTGTAACACTAATGCTTAATGTTTCAGGAATCTATATTAACATGTACCCTCCTCTTCCCACCCTCCAAGAGTAGTCTGTGCTGTGGACAGACTGCAATATAGCTGAGCTAATCATCATACTCCAACAGTAAGCTGATGTATCTGACCGTAGACTGTAAAACAAATGATCATTTCTGAATGTTTGACTGTCAGCATTGTGGTAGAAAAATCCCTGAACAAAACAGATCAACAAACACTGAACAATCAGCCATTCACCTCTAGTAGAAAATAATGACTCAGTAGGAAATACAATGAGTTCTAAGGCACACGAGACAGCAAAGGAGGCACACTAAGGCCTGTGCTATTTACCAGCATGTCTGTGCTCAACACCAAAGCGCTGTAGCAATTTACATCTTGAAGCAATATCCCAAGCTGTGCATTTCTTCCCAAATATAACTTAGGTATTTTTCCTCAATTCTGAGTGGTCATGATTTGTACACACTGTACAAGCATAAAAATCAGAATATCGTGTACCCCATAAAATGGGATGACTGATTTCAGCAATGAAAATTGTCAGCTCAAGACAGTGTTTCTGTAAAGTTTTGTTGCATGTTAAAATAACCATATTCTGTTAGCATATGCTCCTGGCTCCATTTTCTGACCATAAGTTCAGTTGAATCATGTGTGTACCACATACCATTAAAGGGCAGAGGATTTAACAGAGTGCACATAAAATCCAAACTACTTTCAATATTGTTGCTCACAAAACATCAGGAAAGGATCCTTAAGCGATAGTATAGAGCAGCAGCTGTATCTTTCCTCACTCAATTTCTCACTTGCTGAATTAACAGGGACTATGAGCACAGGAAGGCCAGCAGGCTCCTCTCACAACAGGGGAGAAATGTACACTCCAGCACACGGGTAGGGAATGGGAGGTGGTTTTGTTCCATTCTGCAAAACAACTCTAACAAGGGATACAGTTGTTAGTTACATAACCTACACAATTAATGAGACTGAGATGCAGTTTACAGCCAGATGCCCCCAAAGAACTACAAACATTTTCAAACTATAAATATTTAGGTTCTGCTGGAGCTTTTTATGTAAGCAAATATATTCAAGGGACACCACTAAGTGAAACATCAGTAGATGCTCAGTACAAAAACAAACACCCCTCTTTTAGGTGCAATGAAACAACCAAAATACACCTGCAGGAGGTCTGTTTAGAAGAAAAATGAAAGCAATAATTAATTACGCAGGAAGGCAGACAATTATGAAACTGTCATTTATTCAAAATGCAGGATCCCAGTTCCACTACATTTGGCTTTTACATCCTTGCAAGAAAATGTTACAGAAGGCTACAACTTTACTTACTGCAATCCCTTCCAAAAAAAACCTTTTTCCTCTGGAAAAGTACACAAAAGGATTTACATGAATTCAGACAGTGGAGAAATATATTACTTTCGCTCTGAGCAGGATGTCCATGCTTTAAGGATATGGGAAAAGGTTGTACTTTTAAAGTTTGATCTGTTGGTAACAGCAGCTAGCCATGGAGTCAGGACAGGAGTGAAGAGAGATTAAACACTTTGGAAACTACCTCTCAGACAGATATAAAAGAACTGTCCCATCTAAGATCACAAAGACCATGGATATGAGTGAAACAGAACTGAAAAAACTCTTCAGGTTTGTAAATGCTATCCAATCACAGCATTATAACACATTACCATTAATTTTGATTACATAGGGATTGAAACCACAGCCTGGATCAGTAAGAGAAGCTTGTATTTAGGGGACTGCCATTATGCCTTAAAATCAGTAAAATATAGAATCACTCCCAGAACTTGCATGCTAAGTACAACTCTTACAGAGCCACATTTGACAGAAAAGGCCACTCACAACTGCCACTGGGCAATGTTTCAGCTGGCTGAAGCTGTAGTCTTAAGCTTCTACCTCAGCTTCATGATCCATTCTGAAAGCTTTTATTATTTTTTTTCCCCTGTTGTTTTAGAGCTGCAATAATATTCTGGCTATTTATTCCCTGGTCCCTGTCAAGCTCCTCCAGTAAGTTAAGACAGCTCTTCCTTACCTTCCTTCCAAAGATTTCTCAACACACACGTTTTGGCGAGCAGGACACCTGTTCAGAGAAGAAATACCGCTTTCCTTTTTGAAGAAGGTTTTGGCTAGTTTCATTGTTTCCAAGCACATTGGGACATATGGGGCAGTTCTTGGGAAAAATGAATGCTGACATAACCAGCAGGATTGACACCCAAAGCTACACAAATGTTCAAGAGACCTTTCTCTTCAGCATATGTAGCAGCAACTCAAACACCCCAAGTTTCTGCAAGCTTGATATTAAAAGATACTGCTACAGGTTAGACATAATGACTCTGCTTTGGGAATTCAAATTTGGAGTAATGAACTTGATAACCCATGTAAACACTGACACAGCAATAATCAATTCCTCTACTTTTTTTTTTTTTTTTTTTAAGGGGGAATGATGCATGCTTACATAAGACCATCAACAGTAAGCTGTATGTTTATCCTGGTTTTGTATTGCATCAGAAACAGTGATACCATATAACGCAATCATTCTAACTTTCGCTCTCTTCCAATGCCTTTAAACCAAATCTGACATTGAGACTTCTTCATGCATTACCTTAAGTGTTCCCTGAAAATCAATGATTAAGAAGAACAGAGAAACCCTATAAAGTTTTCAGTGAAGTACAGATGGGTTTCACCATTGTGGAAGCCTTTCAGTTAGAAGGTGCCTTGGATAACTGCAAATCATTACCCATTTTCACTGGCAGAGAGTAGGCAGTCAACAAGCCTACAGCCTCAGCGTGCACAAACATTTACAAGTTACCAAGACAAAGATGAACAAATGAAAATAGGAAAGTAGCACAGCCAGCACATGGGAGGAGTCTAAGAACATTGTGATTTGATTAACAGCTGGGTCACAAAAAAACACCTATAGTAGAGAACAGAAGAGAACTGAGATTACTGAAGTAGGAAAGAGCAAGAGGTGACAAAGACAAGAAAATAGTTTCAATTACAGTTGTGGTGCTCCCTGATCTAATTACAGTTTAAGTGATGGCTTCCAAATCAAACTCAGGCTGTTAACTACTTCAATAGTATCTACTCAAACTTTGGCCTGAATAGATGGACTCCTTTGAAACCAGTACAGCATCATGGATAATAGCCTATAAGCGCTGCAGATTTATCTCTGTCGATGACTATGCTCACATTAGTCAGGAATGCAGAGCAATAGAAGCAAGTCTAACGAACAAAGCAGTTGGTACTGAGGGCCCAACACTAACACAACAGACATGGTGAAAATCTTGCTTAGCAATCGGTCCGATTTGGTTCCATGAGCTGAAGTGAATACTGTATGGTTGTTGGCCTGCATTAGGTATGGTTTCGGAGCACATTTACTTTCAGCCAAAAGTAATTCAGTTTCATTCTTTTTAAACGATTCCACAGTGTGAACCAAAGCAATGAAAGAGGTGGCAATTGGGAGTTTTGCTTCCGTAAGACACACCTAAGCTGAACCAAATCCAAAGTGCATGACTACAAGCAAAGCAGCAAGAAGCTGTGAGGAAGGAAGCTCTAGATAACATCATTTCTCAACACAGATTCACAGGTTGTTATGGGACAACAGTGAATAGCTAGCAAAACTTCCTGTGGAGCTAGAGAACTCCTTCAACAAACAAGCAGACTACAAACAGATAACATGAAACTCCTTTCAAGCAAGACATCAGTGAATGAGCTGCTAAGTATGAGTAGGCCCAACCCAAACCCTCCATTTCCAGGGCAAAACCTGAAAACACCAAGCTTACCTACAGCTGGAGGGAATTAGAAATTAAAAACAAAAAAACACCAAGCAAAACCAAACAAACAAACAGAAAGATAAAACTACAGAACACTATGACAACAAAAGAGACAGCAAACAAAAACATCAAATCCAAACAAACAAAACACTTCATATCAAAGTAAGAACGGATTTTTTGAGCAGCCCGTGCATTTGTCTCATCTTCAAAAGCTGTGTTCTCCTTTGAGATATCAAACGGTAATCTGGTAAGAATTCAGTCTAGTCAAAGGACTCCACTCTTCTCAAATTCAAGCAGTGTGTTGAATGTACTTAAAGCTAATTAACAGAAACAAAACACTGATGCACTGCATACCACAGAGCCCAATCTAAGAACAAAAAACCCAAAACATCAGAGGTTTTGGTCAGAAACACCAGGGGGGTAAAAAAAACAAAACAAAAACAAAACAAAACAAAAAAACCAGGCACACAGCTAACCCGGTAAGCAGGAGGCAATGCAGCCACCTCCCACCCCTGCAAACACTCCCCAGACAAAAAGCACCCCACACATGGAGTGAAACTTGCAATCACAGGCTACAAATTTAAAATCCGGTTTAGGACTTCCATTATCACTGTTTTCAGTAGCTTTCTCTCCAAAATTTCTTACCAGCTTCTTCAATAATAAAAGGACACAGAAAGTCAAACAACAGTACCTGAGCAAGAGTCCATCCACCAGAATAAATGTTCATTGCAAGAATGGTGTTCACCTCATTCAGAAAAGGTGACAAGACCAAGGCTAAAAAAATGTACAATTTTTCCTAGTTGGAAATCCTTACAGATATTTCTTCCCCAACACTTCTTTTAAAAATCGACCCAAATGTCACAAACAGTACTTTCCTGCTTTTCCCAATAACAGAAACCAGCTGTACAAAATTCAACCTCCAACTGCATCAGCCCGTATCCAATACTCTTCCCAGATGAAGAGAAGAAAGATTTGACAATTCTGTACATTTGAGAAAGATTATCCTCAATTCTCTGAGGCTGTTGAAATTGTCGCACTGCTCTGAAGGTTAAGGAGCAAAAGCAATTCTAAACTAAAGCGATTTTTGAAGAAAAGGGAAACGCGGAAAAAAAATGCTCAGAACGTGAACTTTCATAGCCAAAAGAAACACGAATCATTTTATGCATTTGCTGTGCATGCAATAATTTTATAACTAACCTAAGCCTGCCACTTCATAAAGTTTATTTTGCTCTTCTGTGAAGAAAAGGTGTGGTGAATATTCAGCTCTGTTTGGAAATTGCATTTAGGACATGCTTGGTAGTCCAATGTCTCACACCTCATTTAATTTAAAAAAATTATCCAGAAGCAATAAAAAGTTTAGTGTAGCACTTCACAGAGAAATGTGCAAACAAAGCCTTGTCTTCCAAATATTTATGCACCATCAGCACATTTCCATACAAGTTTCCACTCAGCCTGTTTTCCCCTGAAGCAACGCACATACGATGGCATTTCAGAGCATGTTTTAATGGGATTTTCCAGTCACACAAAAATTAAATTGCACAGAAGTGCCAGAATAATTATAAGAAAGCTATAAATACATGGCTCATCTTATTGAGTTATATGATAACCAGGAAAAATGATAACGGGGAACAACTGCTACTACAGAATTTTTATAATTTTTTTCTGACACATAGGGGGACTTCATAAAAAGAGCACACAAAGGTATATGACACTAGAAACCATAAAAGAACTTCAGCCAGTTATAGGGTAAGTAGCTTACACAAAGCAGAAAATATATCTTTATTTAATATTGCTACTTCCTTCTCTCACAACAGCCACCCTCTTTTTCCTCTTCTCATCAGCATTACTTGAATTTCCATATAAATTAAGCGTGCACACATCCTGACTGTATCTTCTAAAGCATTACACATTTGAACTAGCTTACACACAATCATTCCGGATGATTTACATGTTTGCAGCGTAGTAAAACAAGATAGTAACAAGATGGTTTGGCTTCAGCCATGAAGAGGAGTGAAGGAATTCCTCCTCCCCTCCACCCACTCTCTACTGAAGATCATTGCCCCCCATATTTGGGCTAAGGCAGTTTCATTTTCTGCATTGCAGCTTTACCCAAACCTCTCTATCAGTCTCCCTCTCCTCTTCCACCCCTTCACTCTCGCAGGCTTCTGCAGAAAAGAAGTATAAACTTCCTAGACTGCATTTGCCATTGAAGCCAACCTCTCAGTAAACTAGTTCTGCATCCCCTTTAAGTCCTGACAACAAACTGCCTTTTGTTTACACATCAAGTACCGATTTTCATCTTAAACTGATACAATTCCATAAGAGTTACTAGAAATGCCAAATACTTTAACAATATTTCTATTCAAAGGGTTTTCCTGTTTTTAGATGGCTTTCCTTTAGCAAAAGGGCTTTGTGTCTTCCTAGAGTTTCCTCATGTCCTCCAGTCCAACAATTATACTCACTGGTCCTTTTCAGTCAGCTAGTACACAACGGTAGAAAAATAAAGTTGTATTTGTGGAAGTTTTCCTAAATAAAGCATACTACAGAATCATTTTGAACATCGTCATTCAAGAAAAGCCTGGATGACAAGTTAATTTTGAAATAAATACCATACAAAAGCTTTAAGTCACAGTCTCTCTGTGATCAACCACAGCATAACTCCACAACAAACAAAGCCAAAGAGTTCCAGTAGTCACAAAGCCACCAGTATCAGAGTATAGTTACAAAGAACTTCTGATGCTTTCCAGCACTGAAAGCAGTAGAGCGGCTCCCAGAATGAGAACAATAAAACTACTGATGCTCTCCTGCTTATGAAGTGATTCAGTGCATTACACATTCCGCTTGTGAGTAGGAAGCATGAAAAAAAATATATAAAACAAGAACATTCTGAAGGATTTTGGCTTTAAAAATCAGTTTTAAAAGACTTAGGGCAAGGAAAATTTTACACATTGAAATCAGTTTCACACTGACATGCCAAATTAGCGCAAAAAATTAACCACATTTGAAGATACGATTTATCTTAGTTATGTCAAAAACCCATGCAATTAGGATAAGAGTTAATTGCTAAAAAATTATTTGCAACAGGAAGATCATCCACTGTATTTCAATGCCCAACATTTGTTTTTAGAAGATTCAAATGGTGGGTTTCTCACCCACCCTATGGGCTGTATACCTTCTCCATCACCTAGAGAATGTGGAAAAGGACAGGAATCTCTAATACACACAAAAAGGTCATTGATTTTTTTCTTTTTAATGTGGTAATGCTGTTGTATACACATACAAATGACACACACTACAGAAGTCACTGGAGAATCTTCTTAGGTTTTCTGCCACCAGTGGCTGCAGCTCAACCTTTTGTATTTTCATGTCTATCAAGTCACCTGAACAGAAATTCCATCTAACCTTTGCCCAGAGCTCCAAAAGAATAGCCATCATGAAAACACTTTGACATTTCAGTTTTTCCAAGACAAAT